AGGGGTACCCCTTGGAAAAATATCGGAAAAATCGAAAATTTTTTTTTCTCAAAATATCGAAAAATATCGAAATATATTCCAAAAAGCGAATCTATAATAACAAATTCAACATGCTAGCATTCTTTAAGTGTATATTCTATACATCCTTAATTACCCACTCGTGCGCCGCTTCGTTGATTAATCGACTCCCGGTTTGGTCAACAATTGCGTAAAATTGTAAATGTTTCGACAAAACCGTCGGATATCTTATCGCTAATCCTTCGTGGAATTAATATGATAGTGCACTCTGAACACGGAGCATATTGCAGAATCATGAGACGCAATTAAATCGATATAAAAATCCTCAGTTCAAACGACGCACATATTTGCCTACAAATTCAACTGGCATTGACACAGAAAGTAAGAATGAATTTCTCGAATTGAGGAAACTAGCATTTTCTAAATGCACTTTGTTGAAATGGATTTATTAATGTACCGTGATTTACTGTAGTGTAACCATTGCGTACTACGAGATTTCCCTTATTTTCGGACCCACCTCTGCTCCGCGTACCCACGACAATCGATAAACCGGTATAACGTTTTCTGACCCGCGTATGCGTACTGTCGGATTTCACTGTCTGTCCCTTATTTTTTTTCTCTCCAACCGTTACCTGTCGCTGCTGTGACACTTGAAATTCTACTTTTCACGCCACTTTCTAGTCGATATCGTTCTAGTTTGCATGGCAAGACACGTTTTTTTCGAATGACACGTAACGATGATTGATTATGAGCATGTCTCACGCCAAAGGCAATTGTACTTCGTTGTTAAAAAAATGACTTTTATATTCTGGAGACATATTATCTATCGTACAATTAAATTCTTCTGAATGTTCAAACGTTACAGTAGAAAAACAACGCCTCTAATAAGCATATCTATGATCTATGAAACGGTACGTACGCGTAGATTTGACGTGCAACGCATTCCGATCTCGCGATAAACTTCTTCGGGTCGCTCGAGTTTTGAACAGGAAACTGTTCGCGTCGCTTCCAATTCCAATTCAGAGGCTGCGTCACGCGAATCGTTCCTCCAGTCAATCTGAATTCGCGTCACGTAGAAAATCGCAGCCGAGATCGGTTTTGGAACGATTCTGATTATGTCCAAACCATTGGGTTTCGTCGTCGGTTTTCTAAAATTGTTTGATTGCCGATTTGGCAACGTTCTCGAACAGGCTCTGACGAAATCATCTTCACAGCCACTCCCTGTTGCTCGCCTGTGGCACGCGTGGATCAATAACCGAGACGGCGTTGCTCGAGATCCCTTAATTAATTGCGCTGATTGCAGCTTTCTATAATTATTGTGTACGAAGTTTAACAGTATAAATATTGAAATTAATCTATCTGTAATTTTAGATAATCAAAAGTGATCTCACTTTTGATATGCACATTGCTATTTTTAAATGATAAAGAAAATTCAATATTAAAAATATTTTAATCGCATAAAAATCAGCGATCTGCTAATCTTATATCATCCATTGTACTGAACATTTTGTAATTCTTTTGTTACGTACAGATAAGATTTGTAAGCAGATCTGTCAGCTTTGGAAAGCTCTAAGATTAGATTAAACCGTCGTAAATTGCGTCAGCTGCGATGGCACAATGAACTCTCTCCGTGAGATTTCCTCGGTCGAGGAAAAGTGGAAATTAATCTTATTTCTAACATGCCGTTTGCTGAACTAAAACACGGGCCATTTCCCGCGAAGACAATACACTTTCTCGTGCCTCGTTCCACCGATTCTCGCGGTTCTACGATTCTGTTTACGAGTCTAACCCGTTTGCGAAGGTGATTTGTACATTCGCGCCAGGCTCGATGAAACGGAATCGCGGGAATTCAGGTACCAAGCTATGAATTCATCGACCCGAATAGCTATTGGCAATCGACTCGTTTAGGAAATTCAAATCAGTATTTAATTGATCTATGAGGAATTCTGGTCAGAACTGCGCAATGAATTCAGTGGATATATTTACATGTTTTAGTTATTATATGTTATTTTACGTTTATGAATTCCTGTGGAATTCCGTGCAATCAAAAACTTGTTCGTCTTCGAACAGCCTTGATCATTACCGATTTCATAGCGAATCGTACCATACGATTCAGAGGCCGAGAATAGACATCTCATCGTTCGTTGACAAAAAATCAAGCAACAAAAACAGGATGTAACAGCCTTGTACGAGCCTGATAGTAATGGTTGCACCCTTGGACAAGTACAGTCCGTTCTATAACGATTCCATTCTCACTGTCACGTTTAATCAAATCGAATACAAACGTCTGATATAAAAGAATATCTTTAAATTTTATTAAATGACAATAGTAATTCCATAAATTCATTCCTGCGATAAACATAATCAATTATCAAACAGTGAATTTTATAAGAAAATGGAATCTGCAAAAATAATTAAATAACAAAAGAAATGTTCATCATTTAAAACGACAGCATAAATATCTCATTTTGCACGGAGATCTTTACTTGAATCGTCTATTTGTCAAGAGCGAATTAATTTCTGAGGATATACCAGCCGTGTTATTATGGGAGGGAGTGTATCGGCTCGGTGTGTCGAATCGCGCCGATCCTTTCAGCTCGCGAGCGTAATTCCACGCGTTCCAGCAACGCAGCGTGCGTTTCGCGCGCGTGTAACTACGTTCTCCGTTTACGAGCGGAAAAAAGTTGAAGAGTACATATTTCGGTGTCACGGGGAAACGAACGTACACGACCGGTCTTGGTATCGAGTACGAGCCGCGTGTCGTAACCGATTGCAAATTCTACTCTACAGTAGAACTAGTAAATAATATGTGGTAACATAACGCCGTGTGTATTTTTCATTGAATTTTCATTCTCGATTCATGCGGAAAGTTCAGAATTCTTTGTTCTATGAATGAACTCTCTGAATCCTGTATAATAAAATATCTTAAAAATTTAGTAAGAACGAATTGACTTTGACGAATCGCCTTCGTTTCCCATTGGTAAATAGTAACAGGTCTGTAGAGAATGTTATACCATCGTTTTCCGTATCATTATAATGCCGTACACGTTTCACGGTACGCGTTGTGCATTGCACGCAACTGTTGTGCCTTCTCCTTCGTTTCCAAACTGTTCTTTTTTTCGCTGCTAGTGTGTCAGGCTTGGAAACTCGAGAAACAAGCGAAAAATTTCAAACTCGTTTATTCTTCTATTAAGAATAGGAAAATCCGATGAATTAATGAGAATCGCAAATCGATTGTAATAATTGCAATAAAATGATGGTTCATTGTCAATGGCAGTGAGCCATTGAATGCGTTGGAAAGTCGAATGGACGTCGCCGAGGGCTTTTGAAATGCGTGTCACCTTTTTGCGTGATCAAGAAAACGGTACTTACCCGACGACCAGACCTAATCTTCTTCCTTCGCTCGGGTTTCTTTTTTCTCAACCCGTTTCAGTGCGCATTACCGTGGAACTACGCTGTGTCAGATTTAAATTGCACTGCAATTTCACGTTATTACGTCCACCATGAATTTCTCAATACCATTCCCATAAATAGCTCAAACGATTATACAGGCTCTTGCGTAATACTTTATATAATATTTTTTAGTCAATTTATACCAATTTTGCTTTTAACCATATCAGATAAAAACGAGTCGTAATAATTACAAGCGTAAATCTACGGTTTCAAATATTTCTCGCTGCTCAGAAAAACTGTTCGTTCGTTACCTTGGGAAACGCAAATGTGCTATGTTTCAATTAGACTGGAGCGTTAATCACGAAGTAAAGAAAGTGTGACAAGCCGCGAAGGATTTAACGGTTGTAACTTTGTAAGCCTGAGGATAAGGCGAGAAACATCGAATTCAGGAATAAGGCAAAACGTGTTTGCAGAACGTTTCTCTTGACACAGTCGATGTTGTCAATTAAGCAGAATGCTGAACTTTCTAGTCCGATGCAGTGCACAATTGCACAGAGTGAATCGATAAGTACCACGTAGGATGCGTCAAAAACGTGTCGCGTAGGAATTTCTGATGGAAATCATTAAATGAATTCATCCTTGAATTATTGACAAATTTAAGTATCAGGCGAAATGTAAATGAAAATGTTTGCAGGATTAATAATGGAATTAAGTGACCAGTGAATTTTCTTATTCTATTTAATACAATTTGAATATCTCTTATCGCGATTCCTGTTTCTAAAACCTTGGACGTGAAAGCCCCCCTACCGGAGGACAGGAAGCAAAAATCAGTTTTATCGTTCCCCTCGACGCACTATCAGAAACCAGTCACAAACCCGTCAGTATCAGAAATGGTTCGCTCCAGTTTGCGTAGAACAATTTTGTAAAACACCCGTCGGAAGTTCACCCACAGGAATTAATTGTTCGGACGGACATGAAAGCGAGAGCCGTTCCGTAATTAACGGGAAGCGAGGTGAAGAACAATCGGTACGAGTAAATTTTCATAAAAGATCGGCTCGTGCCAAAGTCCCTGTCCGTGATCATCGAGGTGAAACGAGCGTGCTTCCGCTCGCCCCTTTCGGAGCGGAGAAGAAAGTGTTGCAAGAAACGGTTCCAAGGAGGAAGAAGCGCGTAGTAAAATGACAAAGGGTTACTCCACGTTCAACAGGCCGAATCGATCCTGGGCGATCGGCAAAATAGCTTCGAACTTCTTCCTCGAGTGCTGCTCTATGCCTTGTTACCCGAATAGAAAAAATTCCGATGAGCCTGTCGAGAACATCTCGCAAAGTGATCTCGAACGGATAGAGATGAAACGCGTTGCGTCCAACTACTCGTTGAAAAACGAAGCTGACGGCTGTTCGCTGTTGGAATCAAAGGATTTACAGAGAAGCGTATCAACGATCAGTTCTACGGATTCCGATAAAACGTTCACATCGAGCATCGGCCTGGGGGGAATTAAACGAGTGATGAATGGCCTGCCCAGGCTTTCTAAAAAGAATTCTAAAAAGGAATCTGAAAGCGACGAGGATTCCCTTCCGGAAATGTCGAGGCCCAAGCTCGAGAGGCTCGACGAGCAGAACGACTTTTCCGAGTTGTTTCCCAAGTGTCGGCTTAGGAAAAAGAGACGGGATAATCCTGAGGATGCGACGAGTTAGTGTTGCTTCTAGCAATTATCATTGCTTATCAGATTCAATTCACTTTGTACTTCGATTTGTTTGTCCCTTCCAGAGAAAAATATAATCTCGAAGAGATAACTTCAATGACGTGTCGCTCTGTTCGTGTTTCAGATGACGGAAGCAGTCTGTCAGAAGCGTGTAGCACTCCGATCATAGGCGCTGGATCGCGATCAGGATCCAGTACAGTGATCGACGTGGATGACATGGATTCCGGACTGCATTCTGGTCATCTCGCCACGCGTGCATCTCTATCAAGCCTTGGAGTGAGTACTTAACGTATAGATACAAATACGATCTCGCAATTAGAAGCTCGTACGATGTAATGTGTCATTCATCTTGTAATACTTTTTTAAATGTAAATTGCAAACGTTTCAGGCTCGATCGGATTCGATGGCGTCGGTTTATAGCGGTGCAGGCGAGGGACGGTGCTGTCGCTCGGTCGTCGTCACCGGCGAAGTCGAGTTCTCGTTGCAGTACGACTACAAACACCTGATGTTCGAAGTTCACGTAACGAAATGCAAGAATCTAGCGCCGGTTGACGTAAAGCGCAAACGGTCCGACCCGTAAGTAAACCCGTGACTCATTACGCAAGAATGATTTATCCGATGAACGTAATCGAACACTAAAGATCTCCCAACATACTAATCGTTCTCTTACTCACGACTAGTTATTGCCAATTTGTAGGAGCTATCTACACGTTAGTACATTTTATTTCCTACAGATATATGTGCCTAAGATCGCTCAGTTCTTCCGATTTATTTGCTTTCCTATTAAAAAAAAAAAAAAAAAACAGCCGATTCATATTTTAAAAGAGAAATAGGTCTCATCTCTGACCTGTAAATTGTTCTACCAGATACGTGAAGGTGTATTTGTTGCCTGACAAGTCGAAGAGCGGGAAACGAAAAACGAAGGTGAAGAAGCACACGCTGAATCCTGAGTTCAACGAGACGCTGAAGGTAATTTTGCAGAGAAACGCGTAAGAACGTTTTGCCTGTTTACCCTCGTTCCTGCATGAGAGTTAGAGCTTGTTTCGCCACCGCGATATTTCAGTTCCACATGAGCCTCAGCGGACTGGAGACCCGAACCCTTTGGCTGACCGTCTGGCATTCGGACATGTTCGGCAGGAACGATTTCCTCGGCGAGGTTCGAATGCCGTTGGAGAACAAAATCTTCGACGATCCCACGCCCAAGTGGTATCCCCTCCAAGAACGAGTAAGTTCATCGGCTTGTTTAAAAATACGAATACGACTGCGAATTTTTATGCTAAATAAAAATGCATTTTAGACTGTAGAATTTTCTTTAGCAAGTATCGCAACGTGCACTGCTTTTCATATTCTGTACATTTTTATACGCAGTCTATATATTTTGTGGCCAACCGATTTTTCTACGAACGCATCGAATCCGCAGTTTAAGTATGACGAAAATCGTTCTAGTTGTAAAAGCGCGATGAGAACAGGAGGAGAAAGTAAGTCTCAGTAAATTTAATTGAAGCCTCGTTTTATTTGTTTTCATTTGCATTTGATAACGTTGATCGACGCAGAAAACTGATATTGCACGATTCGAGGTTTTAGCGACGGCATGAAAGAAATTCGAAACGCTGTTTTGAACCAGCGACGAGACTTCACGCATTGTTTTGCGATGAATCTGCATGCGGAATTAGACACCTCTTTACTGTTTTCACAATACTAGTACTTATTTATGGTATGAAGTTGTCAAAATCGATGTGTTTTTTAAGCAAGATACCAAATGTTCTATAAGAAATTTTCAATTAAATTCTGTAATGTTTTTAAACAGGTAATGAATTTTCTTCTTCCTGAAATTATAATTAAAGAGAGCGAATTGAATTCTAGACGGAACCGTTCGACGATCCGATTGCTTATAAGGGCGAGGTGATCGTGGGTTTGAAATTCGTCCCACCGGATCCGACGCAACAGGAACGGGACCGAGAGATCGGATCTGACAGAGGTGTGTCGAAATCGAAGAAAAACTGGAGTCGCGGATCGTTACACGTACTCGTGAAGGAAGCTAGAAATTTGCAAACGAGGGCAAAGAACTCGGGAACCTGCGATCCGTTCTGTAAAAGGTACGCGAAACAGATCAATAATTAATTTATCATCGATGTTTAAATGTGATTTTCAATGCTTTCAGTTATCTACTGCCTGACAAGGGTCGCTCGGGGAAACAAAAGACTGGAGTGGTTCGCAGATCTGGTGGTTCGCCAGTGTGGAACCACACTTTCGTTTACAAGGACGTGAGTCTGCAGGAATTGGCCGAACGTGGCCTGGAATTAACTGTCTGGGACCACGATCGTATCGCCAGCAACGAATTCTTGGGTGGCGTTCGCTTCAATCTTGGCACAGGTAAATATTCCAAAGCCGGGAGATCAAATTGGAACACGAGAAAGAGTTTTCTGAGAATTAAATCTGAACTTACGATCGATTTAAATTGCGAACGAACGAAATTGTTGTAGGGAAACATTATGGCAAGCCGGTGGACTGGATGGACGCGACTGGCCGTGAACTATCGCTCTGGCAGAGCATGCTCGAAAGACCGAATTTCTGGGTGGAGGGTGCTGTCACCCTTAGGCCAAACCTGCATAATCACGGGAAGAACAATTCGTCCTAAAGACGATTTTCGTGAACGAAGCTCGAAACGCTTCCTAGCATAACTTGAGAGGTCGAAGAGAATTTCGAACATCGACTTTCGAAAGGGAGAACAGTGCCTTTGGGGCTGGCTTAGCCCGTTTCTAGGGCACATTCCGGATCCAGGACTGTAAAATTCTACCGGAAGTGACATGGAGCCTTCGAAACAGTTCCAAGCTGTCGGATCTTGGTCGTAATTCTAAGATTACTGCATGCTCGGTTTAATCCTTAGCTAGTATTAATCCATAGTTTTGCTTTCGACTCCGTAGAAATTACCTTACATTTTTTTATAATTACTGTATGAGAGATATATGATTTTTTTGTATGATTTCCTCGTCTATTAAGTTCTCATTTTCGTTTTCTCCTTGTGGTCTTCTTATAAAGCGAAGGTCCTAACCGGATGATCGACGGAACATCGACGCGCAAAACTCGTGCAATATTTTATCAGCAGGGGCAAAATTTCGAAACGGGCATCCGTCCAAAACGCGCGACGACATAATTATCGACTATTAGCTCTCCTCGTGGCTGAAGCGAAGACAGAGCCTTGTTCCAACCTTCGAAACTCCATCGAATTCCTTTATGTAAATTCGAACCAGACGAGATCTATATTTTGACAAATATATTTTATTCATCATCGAATCAACGGGGGAGGTTGGGAACACGGGTTACATTGGGGACGCTCCATTGTTGGAGAGAAAGATGCTTCCAGTGTGTGCACATTGATTTCTCGCATCGTCAGATCGGATGGAACGGTGTATTTAAGAGATTAAATATGACCGGTTCCCGTGAGACAAAAGTATATTCGTAAAAATGTTATATTTATACAGTTGAGTAGGATTATACAACGAACGGCGAGCCACGAAACGTCGCATCGATCTATTGTCAATATTCAAACAAGTTTTAACGAAGTGAACGTTGGTACGTCCGTCGACTAAGAAGGCTGGCGGTAATTGTACTTAATTAATTATTACAATAGCCGAGTGCCCGATTAACTGAGAATCGTGTACGTAAGGCTCTTCCTAGATACAGGGTTAATAAACTGTTAAACTGCCTTCGACGTGGAACGTGAAACGCGTGTCGACGTCGATTGATTATGGGAACTCGCTGATTAGAAATGTAAAGGATCGGATGTAGCTGTGTGTTTTGTCGAAGAGAATTGAATCCTGTCGCGATTGTGTACGTTTAAGGACCAATAAATATTACTTAAATTAATAACGAAACGACGGCAGGGAAGCGCTGGAATTCAGGACACGCGCGTCTCGCCTGTTTCCGTTCACGATCGCTTCCGTTTCATCGCGATCGGATCGATAACGAAACAGAGAGAGAGAAAGAGAGAGCCGTACATTTATTTATAACGTGTCACTCTCAGTGTACGTGATATAATAAAAAAGGATTTTGTACGTTTAATCGTTTTGACTGAATACCTTTATTCGACGTAGGTGTATAAAAAAAAAGAATTAATCTATCAAAGAAACGAGTGATCAGGCACGTAGATAAGATTTCTCGGTCGATCGACGGTGAAAGACTTGTGCATCTCTACGGGCCTGATCGCTGTCATACATTCACGTCCGATTCACAGATCGTTATTCGAGATAAATCGGTTCCCCTCCGAGTTCTTCCCAGAGTATCGGTACTTACATTTCCCAAACGCTCCTGAATCAGAACAAAGCAGATGGATAAGATCTTAAGATCAACTTAACTTCTGGCTGCACAATTTCCGCTGTCTCATGAAAAATCATTTAGAGAAAGATCGATAGACTCCGGATTTGATAAAAAATGCAATTGTAATACTTAAACCACCTTTTATGCCATAAGTACTTCGTTGAAAAAATCCGTAGTCTAAAGATCGAGTACATTAAACTAAGTACGAAACGGTACCTTTGTGATCAAGTGGATCTCGAAGGGACCTAGGCAGAGGCGTGTAGTTAATGTTAAAGAATATGTCATCGAACTCCTCTGCAGGGTTCGGCGCGACCTTCGATGAAAATTCCGGGACCAGTTTCACGGTCCTCGAGAATTTGCCTCGCCTTTCCGCGTCCTTCCGCTCTTGTTCCGTGACGGGACGCGAGTCCAAGAACCGTAACGTCGAAGGTAACGTGTAGATCGCGTACAGCCTGTAACGGTCGTAGTCCTCCTCGTCGGTCGACGTCGGATTCGTCAATTGATCAGGACATCCTGGATTACCTAGCAGGCTCACGTAAACCACTTTTGGACAACACTCCGCTATCCTTTTTAACGCGCCGTCTATGTCGCTTATCTAAACAATTTTTCATTGAGAAAAATTGATTGAGATGATTGAAATCAACCTCGAGTTCATTTGAACGCGTCAAGGAATAAATAACGAATATTAATCAAGATGTAGTTATCTATAGATTTCATTGATAAAAATTCTTGAGATTGCCCAAGATAATTCTTACCAATTGAAGGAATTCAGAGTTCAACGTCTGCATTTTAAACTACACTCGGGATATATACAAGTGGATTACATCATCGGGTTTATTGGGAAGGATGAAGGTACGAGGTGAACGGCATATTGATCGTCATCGAGTCGCGAATTCCCAATGACATAAGACGCCAAACGCGTACGCGATCAGAATCTCAATGCTTGCAAGTTGAAAACTTTCCGGATGCATTTACGATACAGTTAAGCCCAAGGCGAACGACTTATTTTCCTTCTTACTCTACGGTTTTATCGGCTTATTAAAGAACTGAGTCGGAGTGCTGAGAAACAGGCGATACAGCTATTGTTAGCGCCCTCGTTATTCTCTTGCAATTAATATTCATGACGCACGTGATAATATTTAAAAGGTTGTCGATATTTGAAAACGTTTATAAACGAAGGGAAGTCAAATTCATGCAACGACGTGATGCAGTTGTATACATTTTTCCCAATGAAATTGAAAAACAGGAAGTACTCGTAACGAAGATGAGAATGATTTCACGATGTGGCTATAAATAAAGCGTTTGATGAGATTTGAAGGAAGCGACAATATAATAAATCTCTTTCCTCATAAGATAACGATACTCGCTTCAAATCTTTCCGAGGTTTTTAAATAAGGAATCAATTTTCCAAATTCCAAGTGGAATTACATTATTTAAAACTCTTGCACTGAATCGAATAGTACACGTGCTTTTTTGTATGCAGCTGTACTCGAATCCGTGATAAACCTGATAAGCTGACACAAACAGAGGGCACATGCAAATAACAGACTGTTAGAAAACAATACAGATTAAAAAGAAATCAGTCAGACAATATTTATCCTGCGCGATCCATGAAACTTAGCGTTCGTCTAGTGTCAGAGAATCGATTTCTGTCTTTTAGGTGACGATTTTAATTCAGAAAATCGTGGATTCCAGTAATGGACCGACAAACCTTGTTGTTGTTCAGACTAAGAGTAGTCAAGCTCGGTATATGAGGCAACGTTTTCAAGTCTCGCAGTTTGTTATTGTCGAGCACGAGCTCCTGCAGCCTCTGGTACTGTTTGACAGCGGTGATCGAGGTCAGCTCGTTGTAGGATAGATCTAAACTCGTGCAATCGTCGCCTACGACACCCACCAAACCCGCCGGGATCTTTTCCGCTCGTTGTCCCGTGTACCTAGCCTACGTTCCGATGAAACACGCCTGATAACAACTCGTGATATCGATTCTTTGGGTCTCCGTCGAGAAGACGTAGACGCCAAGAGAAATGATTGCAACGATTATTACCCGCCCACATCGCACTGTCAACGCGCTCCTGTTAAAATCTTGCTGGCTCCGTTCCGCCATCTTGCACGCACAGTACTGTGCAACGAGGAAAATTATCATAAAACAATAAGTGATAATGCATTGGTCGGAATCGCTGTTACAATTGATAACGTTCCATGAACAAAAGATTCTGTAACGAGGCTCGTTGGTCTAGGGGTATGATTCTCGCTTAGGGTGCGAGAGGTCCCGGGTTCAAATCCCGGA